ACTAAGAGGTGGGCCTTGAGGTTTATATCCTGGCCATGCTTCCTGTCCTGTTGCTGCTTCCTGACCCAGGGAGATGTGAACAAGCTGTCTGACGCAGCTGCTGCCACAGCATGAGCCAGGGAAAGTAATTAATGGAGTTCCACCAGGTTTCCTTCAAAAGTGGCCTAAGAGCTGGGTGTGGCCCAGGAGCTGGGACGGAGGGTTCCGGGGACTTCTGGGTAATACAGTGTGAGAGCATGCACACTAGAACCCTCCCCTACCTCTCCATCTCCTCCCCCACCCTACTCCCACCACCTTCGGAACAGAAGATGAAGGTGTCATGCAGGAGCCTGCTGCAGCCATCTTGCCGCCATAAAACTGTGGAAAGACGGGCTGGACAGGCAGGGAAGTCTGTGACCTTCATGACATGAATTGTTGCTGAGGTTTTGTTTCTTCCCGATTTCTAAAAGTGTGTGTGTGCATGCGGGTACAACTGTTTATATACACGTGTATGTGTGCATATGTATACCAACTGTTTATATACCTGTGTATATTTGCATGCATAAATCAACGGTTATATATATGTGTGTATGTGCATACATATATTAACTGTATATATACACATGTGTATGTGTACATACATATATCAACTGTTTATATAAATATGTGTATGTGTGCATACATATATCAACTGTTTATATAAATATGTGTATATGCATAGCAACTGTTTATATAGACATGTGTATGTGTGCATACATGTATCGACTGTATATATATACACATGTGTATGTGTGCATGCATATATCAACTGTTTATATACACATGTGTATGTGTGCATACATATATCAACTGTTTATATACTCATGTGTATGTGTGCATGCATATATCAACTGTTTATATACACATGTGTATGTGTGCATGCATATGTCAACTGTTTATATACACATGTGTATGTGTGCATACATATATCAACTGTTTATATACACATGTGTATGTGTGCATGCATATATCAACTGTTTATATACACATGTGTATGTGTGCATACATATATCAACTGTTTATATACACATGTGTATGTGTGCATACATATATCAACTGTTTATATACACATGTGTATGTGTGCATGCATGTGTCAACTGTTTATATACACATGTGTATATATGCATGCATATGTCAACTGTTTATATACACATGTGTATGTGTGCATTCATGTATCGACTGTATATATATACACATATGTGTATGTGTGCGTACATATGTCAACTGTTTATATACACATGTGTATGTGTGCATGCATATGTCAACTGTTTATATACACATGTGTATGTGTGCATACATATATCAACTGTTTATATACACATGTGTATGTGTGCATGCATATATCAACTGTTTATATACACATGTGTATGTGTGCATACATATATCAACTGTTTATATACACATGTGTATGTGTGCATACATATATCAACTGTTTATATACACATGTGTATGTGTGCATGCATGTGTCAACTGTTTATATACACATGTGTATATATGCATGCATATGTCAACTGTTTATATACACATGTGTATGTGTGCATTCGTGTATCGACTGTATATATATACACATATGTGTATGTGTGCGTACATATGTCAACTGTTTATATACACATGTGTATGTGTGCATGCATATGTCAACTGTTTATATACACATGTGTATGTGTGCATGCATATGTCAACTGTTTGAGAATTCATAGTGCATTGTGATCATGCTCATCCGTGCACTCCTCTTAGCTCCTCCCAGATGCACCTTCACCTCCCTCCTGCCCCTTGACTCCATGTCTCATGTTGTCCCCATCACTTCCCATCTGTGCTGACTACTGACTCCTGGGCGTGGGCCATCTGCTGGCGTGTGGACAACCTGCCTGGGGCCACACACTTGAAGAAAAATGACTCTCCCCCAGAAGCCATCAACTGTCCATAGCTCCTTAGTCAGGTGGGCACTTGTGATCCTCCCCATTTGTGCTTGGATGTAGACTGCTTTGTCCTGTTCAGGCAACCTCAGCGCTGAGAGTTCATGATCCTAATGGTCCTGTCATGCTCAGAAAGCCCTGTTTCCATACCGCTCTCCTAGCCTCTGCTCTCACAGAGTCTCTAGCCTCCTATCCCTCTTCCTTGATGGTCCCCGAGCCTTGGGTGTGTGTACGTGTGAGTGTCTTTGTGTGTGCCACTGTATGCATCTGTGTTTGTGCCTCTGTGTGTGTCTGTGTGTATGATTCTGTGTGTCTTTGTGTGTGCCTCTGTATGCATCTTTGTGTGTCTGTGTGTGTGATTCTGTGTGCATCAGAGTGTGCATCTGTGTGTGTGTTTGTGTGAGTGTCTGTGTGTGTGTATGTGTGATTGTGTGCATCTGAGTGTGCACTGAGTGTGTGTGTCTGTGTGTGTCTGTCTGTGTGTGTCTGTGTGTGTGTGTGATTAAGACTTTTTGAGCTTCTCCCACTGATGATCTCTTTTCTCCCAAGAATTTTTATGTGACCCCAGGTAAATATGGACTTGAACCAGACATATAAATGAAACATTTACTGAAGACAAATCACAAAGCAATTTATTTTAAAGTAACTTGTTACCATACATATGATCTAACTTTTGTTGGCCAGGAAAGCAAATTTGCATATTAATGAGACAGAGGGGCCTGTTCGTCTCATACAATACAGTCTAAAGATGTGCTCACCTGATGTGTACTCGCTGGTGCGTACACGCTCAGGAAAATGGTTAGAAAACATTAGAAGTCCTTGTTTTCCCTGTGTAAAGGGCAGGAGACCTTGTATGTTATGTGTAAACCCCATAGTTCGCACCAGTGATAGTCTCGAATCTGAGCTGAGGTGACGCAGAAAGCATTCGGGGTGTGTGGCATGAAGGCACGCAGAGCACAGACGGCTCGTGTCACGTGTTCATGGCTGTAGTGACCTGACACCGTGGGACACACGTGAGCACTGCCAGGCACTCCTCGGATTCACGGTGTGTTTAGGTTTTGAATTAATTTCTGTCTGTCGTGCGCTGTCAAGCCCTTCATGGGTGCTAAGCTTCATGACCTGCCATGTGGTCACATGAGCCTGAATGTCTGGAAGCGTGATTTCCCATCAGTGGTCGGCAAACCTATACAGAGCCAGATAGGAAACATTTTGGCTTGTGGGCCATGCGGTTTGTTGTAGTTACCGTCCTGCTGTAGCAAGAAGGCAGCCACAGAATATGTGTAAACAATGGCTGTGTCTCAATAAAACTTTATTTAAAGAAGCAGCGGCCTGAATCTGGCTCTGAGCCAGCAGTAGTTCTCATCCCCTGTGTTAGCTGCAGCATGCTGTGCTGGAGAGTCTAAAGGGGCTCCCTCCCAGGTTCCCTACAAGTTTCAAAAGTTCTTCTCTTATTTTAATTCAACTTCTGTAAAGTTTTGGAGGGTAATGCTGACATTCGAAACTGCGCTCACACAGTCGGGGCTCAGCCAGGCTCCCAGGCAGTGCTGGGTGCAGACTGGACCCGGGTCCCTGAAGCTGGTGCCCATAGGCCACACAAGTCTCTCGCAGGACCTTCTGCTAATGACAATCTTCTGGTCCAGTGCTGGTGGGAATGTGGGCTGGCCCGCCTGACCACATTTCAGACATTCCCCAGGGAGCGAAACTCCTGCAACCGGGCAGCAACACAAACATCAGTGCCTTTAACACATTTCCTGCACAGCCGACAGCGGCTTCACGTTGTGGGTGGGAAAGGAAGAGGCAGACAATCGGAGGAAAACAGAGAGGCATGAGGCTGGGAGGAACTCCACTGGAGAATAGTCTAATTATAGAGTCCGCTCCTCAGGCCTGAGAATCAAGTGAGACGGGAAGTCAGAGTTGCCAGACTGGTTGCAGGGAAGAGCCCTGCATGCCCTACAGTGAGGTTCCTGTATGTGACCCCGTTAGACCCCAGTGACGTCAAGGTCCCGTTCCTTAGTGGAGCCATAGGTTCTGAGAGTTAGCTCGATTGCAGTACAGCACCCAGCGTGGGGGAAATGACAGACCACCATCCTGCATCACAGTGCGGGGTCCCTGGGATCCATGCTGGGATTTCAGTGACGAGCTGCCACAGACAGCTTTTTAGCTGCACGCTGAGAACGTACCTGGCCCTCATGCTTGTGCCGCCAAGCACCTGACTCCTCCGCCCACCAGCTCCCAGTCATTTTAAGTGATAACTATCCTGAGACCTGGGTGGAGATGAGCCGAGACCAGGCAGCTGCTGTGGGCTAGGAGGAGGACTAAGGTGGTGGCGGTTTCGTCCTGGGGACACTTCACGTCATTGAGCTCTCGAGGAAACGCAGCAGACATTTCCGCGTTTGTTCCTTGGCTCCTCGACATACTCAAGTGCATTCTGTATCACAGACATGCACCAGCATCAGGAGATGCTGAGTGAGGGGGAAGGATGCAAGAGGCAGAGTGGAAGGAAGCCAGGGAGGCCACAGCAGCCTCCGTGTGCTTTGGTATTGAAAGAAAACAGCTGGCTTTCCCCGTCTGCTCTGCCTGCATCCTCCATCAGGCCGGCTCTGCTCAGGGAAAGACATGGCTGCACTCGGGTCCTCTTCACCCACCACCTGCAGGTTGACACAGAAGAGCTGCACGCACTCAGGCACAAGTGTCTGGGATTCACAGTTTACCTCCTGCACATCTGTGTTGTTCGTTGCTATTCTTCCTAGCTTGTCTCTGGCCCAGTTTCCCGTTCACCTCTGTCCAGGGTTGTCTAGCAGGCCTGACTCACCGAAACCACAGCCAAGTCACCGGGTGGTCTGAGTCACTGACCCTTGGAACATCTTACACAGTAATAAAAGGCAAAGTACCTAAGTAAGTAGGGAATTTCGAAACAGATTGGGTTAAGAATCTTTCTTGGTGCAAGGTTGGTCTGGGAATTCCCGGTGTGTGTCAGGTGACTTTCTTCGGCAGTTGTGAAACAAGCAAATTGCTTCATCTCCTGGCAACCACCTTCCCTGCCCCTCTTCCCCTTCACCTCCCTCCTTTGTTTCTACGAAGAGCTGCTGGTGCCATGCGAGTCCCCAGGTCGCACAGGACGGCATAAGCAGGTGAAAGGGCAAGCAGGGCACGTTTATGGGCAGCAGGAACCCAGGGGCGGCGGGCGTTGAACTGGACTGTGGGAATGTGAGCCAGGTGAGACCCAGAGAAAAGACATTCCAAGCAAGGTGAGGTGACCCTTTGCCACCATCCATGGTAGTCTACTGCAGTGTCTGTCTATCTGTCTGTCCGTCTGTCTCTCTGTGTAGGTCAGAAGTGGTGTCCTTCTCTGTCACCCTCCAATTTATTCCCTTGAAGCAGTCTCTCACCGAGTCTAGAGAGAGCCCCAGTGATCTTCCTTTCTCTACATCAACAGCCGTGGCATTATGGGTGAGTGTGTGACCTGGCCTGGCTTTTTATGTGGGTGGTAGGGATGGGAATTCAGGGTCTCACGCTTGCCAAGCAAACATTCTGACCCTCAAAGCCATCTCTGCAGCCCCAGCTATAACGTTCTCTGGAATAGAAGCCTTCTTTGGGGGTCATTTGAGGCTACGAAGTGCCCCTCAAACACAGGTGTCTCTACAGAGGCAGGGTGTGGACAGGCCAACAGGCCAGCAGGAAGATGGAGACTGGTTCTTTCCCTAAGGATCCATCCCGTGGCCGAGTCTGAAATGAAGAGATGATCCATCTGCCAGAGATCGCCACTCCAGGCACAGCAAGGGACAGAGGGCTCAGAAGGGATTGTTGGCCAGAAATTTTGGGCACCTGTCACATAGTCACTCACCTTTGATTTTGGTTACAACTCTAGTAGCAAAGGTCAGTGTGGGTTCACGTGTCAACCTGCTTCTCAGACACAAGAGAAGCCCGTCCCTGATTGCAGTGTGCCCCCCATTCTGAAGCTAGGTCAACAGACTTAGAGTTAGTTAGATTGTATAGTACAGGGGAACTCCACAGCAGCCTCTTCAGTCATTGGACAGTAAGAGCCAGGATACAGATGCCCTGCCTCCCGTTCTCTGGATAGAACGTTCTAGAAGGCAATAGCTGCCAAAGATTGAGCCCTGTTGCCCATAGCAGCTACCTCGATGCCACAGGCAGTCACCTTCCTCCTTTCCCTGTGTTCAGAGACCTCCCCAGAGACCGCCTGGCCACGTTCCTTTTCCGCTCTGATTCTGAGGAAGCCGGACAGAACACTGCCCATACTTACCCTTGACTGACGGAATGAAGATGAAGGGTGTCTGTGGTCCCCCTCAGCTTCCTCAAACGACCATCTTGAGCATTTTGGAGCTGCCATTCATACCTGAACCAGAGGAGAGGTGGTTTGTTTGTTTGTTTTTAATGGTTTTGGAAACCTCTGGACCCACAGGAAACAGTTGTCACTAAGTCAAGCTGTGCAAAGAGTAACAGAAAAAAATCCAGGAAGGGTCAGGTGGGGGGAGGGCAGGAGCAGGGAGGGGTAGGGAAGGGGTAGGGGTGGAGGTAAAGCTGGCAGAGGGACTTGCTCAGCTTGTGAGTCGGGATGGTTTGACTCAAGGGAAGCTGCATGTTGTTCGTCCCCTGGTTAATAGGGGTTGTTTTGTTCTCTGGGAACACAGGGCTAAGAGGGTCAACAGCCAAGAAAAAACTGGAATAATGGAGGAGGCTGTGCGTGGCTCTGAAACCGAGTGGACACTTTACCTTCGTGAACGTGCATTACAATAAGAAAGCAGTGGGGTCTTATACTTTGAAATCAAAAGTTAATAGATAAAATGTTTATGTCTTTATTCTCAAGATAACCTGTTCAAGATAGTGTCAGAATGATTTAGGAAGAAAAAGAATATGTATTTGAGAAGAGATCCTTTTCATCCAAGTGGTAACTTCAAAATTCTTAAATTTGTAGGGGAAAAATATTCTAAGAAGAAAAGAAACTTGTGTATTTGGCAAAATGTGGTTAACTCCTACCCAGATATTTAAAGACATTCCTAATTTCATCTTTAAATTTTGGGACTGGAGAGACAGCTCAGCAGTTAAGAGCACTTGCTGCTCTTGTAGAAGACCCAGGTTCAGTTCCCAGAACCCACATCAGATGGCTCACAACTACCTGTAACTTGGCCCCAGGGTATCTGATTCCCTCTTCTGGTCTCTGTAGGTACTGCACGCGCGCGCGCGCACACACACACACACACACACACACACACACACACACACACCTTTTTAAAGAAATGATTATTTCCAAGTATCAGGCAAATGTTATTTAATACATGGAGTCAATTGGTTGTATAGTTGAGAACATGGGGTTTGTTCTCAGAGAGAACAGTGATTTTTTTTTTTTAAGAGCTCCTCGTGTCCCTTTAGTTACAAATGAGCCCCAAGCCCTTGCTAGGACATGAGTTTTGCTCTATAGACATTAAAACAGCTCAAATAAAAAGTGGTAAAAATACCAAATGCTATCAAAGATTTGGCTATTTGGAAAAATAGTGCTTATACATTATTTGTGGAGATGTAAATCGGCACCATCCCTCTGGAAAATGATTTGGCACCATCATCAAAAACCAAACACACACTTTGCCATGTGGCTCAGAAATTTCATTTCCAGAGAAATCAAAACCTCAGCAATACAGAATTCATATGATCATAGCAGATGTATGTGTAAAGGCTCCAAATGAGAAGCAACCAAGTGCCTCACCACGGAGGAGTAAACAGGCAGCAGCCGTTTGTCAACTGCAATCTCACCCAATAAAAAGAAATCAAATACTAATTCTCACAACAGCCCATATAGTGACTCACTCAAGAGCATCGTGGTGGGTGAAGAAAGCCAGTCTCAGAGCTCTGTGTGCTGTTTGATTTCATTAACACACCAATCTTTAGCGGACTAAACACAGAGAAGGAAGCAGCTTTCAGAGCTGGGGGTGGGGGCAGCAAAGGACTGTGACTCCAGAAACAGACTGCAGAGTGGACCCCGGGGCCAACACATGACAGAAAGATATGGAACTACACATGCTGAACCAGAGTTGCTCTCTCGGTCTTACCCTTACAGCCGGGCCCTGGTGGAGATGGGGAATGGGTGTACAGTCCTATAACTATTTCAAAATGATTGGTTTGGTCAAGTCTGGTGGTGCAGGCTGTAATCCCAGTGGCCAGAGAGACTGAGACAGGGTCTAGGGAGAGTTTCAGGCTCACCTAAGCAAATTGCTTGAGACCTTGTCTCAAGCTTTAAGACTACAAAAGGACCCGGTGCTTCCCCAGCATGCAGGAGGCCCGACTTTGTTCTTCTTGTGATGGTTCGAGTGAGAAGTGTCCCCTGCCGCAGGCTCAGATATTTGAACTCTTGGCCCACAACTGGTGGAGCTGTCGGAGGAGCTGGTGTGCTCTTGCTGGAGGAAGTACGTCACTAGGGTAGGCTTTGAGAGCCCACAGCCTCACCCCACTTCCAGTGCATGCTCTCTGCTTCAAGCTTGCTTGCTGTTGAAAGTGATCTCTGTTTCCTGTTCCAGCCCCTAGCACTGGGCCTTCAGTTGTTATGGACTCCCATCCCACTGAAGCCATACACCCAAATATACCCTCTCTTCCTTGAGTTACCTTTGGTCACAGCAAAAGCAAAGTGACCAAGATACCTGCCAGGCAAAAATAAAGAAAGGAAGAAAAAGTGGGGATAGGTTGGGCTGGGATTTTGCTGTTGTTGGTTTTGCTTTGGGGATTTTTGCTTTTGTTTTTGATCATCCAAACTTATTAGGAGCATAGAAGAAAGTGAGAACAGAAAAATCACCTGAAATCACCCCAAGAGCTCTGGCGTAGGAGCCTCCATGCCCTGTGTCTGTCTGTCCTGTCTTCTCTCCTGGTTGAGGAACAGGAAGTGGCAGGTAGTGCTATTTTCCTATCTTGAGCAAGAACGAGGGCCACAGATGAAATGCTTGCTTTGTGCTGCCGGGTCCTCAAACAGGTTTGGAATGTTTAGATTCCATGGAAGTCCAAAGTTCAGCAAACTGCTGCTTAGCAATGGCACACCTCACACACACACACACACACACACACACACACACACACACACACATACACACACACACACACACACATACACACACACACACACACACACACACACACACAGAGCAAGAGACTGGACTCCTGGTCGGACGTGATCAGCGTTTGAGGAAATCCCCCATCACAGAGAAAAACAATTTCTTCAGAATCATAAAAGGAGGGATGTGGTGATTTAGCTTCCTCAAGTGGAAACAGGCATCGGGGCATCTTTTAATGTTTTATTATTCAATAAAGCTCGAGAGTCAAATTTTAGGGAATGAACTTGACTGCTCCATGGAGCGGCAGAGCAATGCTCACTTCGCCCTCTTCTCTACTTCCTGGATCAAGAAGACTGCTCATCTTTTTAGCCCTCCCCCTTCTTCTCTGTGTCCATCTGTCTCCTCTGAGTCCGTCAGAAAACTCTTTGGTCCACTCTTTGGGCAGTCTTCAGAGTGAAAACACAAATCTCCAGCAACCAATAGGTATGCCCATCCCACCAGCGGCACCTCACTTCCAAGCCCAGGAACCGTTGATGGCCGTGCCGTTGTTCAGATGGTGTGCATCTCCTCCGGCCCCCCGGCAAGCCACACTTTAATAAACAACCACTAAATCCAGGGGCTTGTGGCTATCCCTGAATAACGGTGGCTCATGGACACAGCACCCTTTGCAGTCTTGAACTGGAAGTAAGAATCAGTTGGTATTTATTTCACCTGGTTCTCTTGAACTCAGCCCAGCCCTGTGCAAGGCTTTACAGAAGTGAATGAGCACGCTCTGTCCCTTTAAAGAGCCTGTTGGGGAAAACAGACCTTAAACAAATAAAGAACTAAGTGCAAGTCCATGCCTTCTGGAGCTCTCTGCCAAGCTACCAGTAGCAGGAAAACAAACATGGGAAGCAGGAAGGAGGTCCAGAGAGCTCCTGTGAGGGGGTTCTTGAGCCAAGAGACTGAATGCAAGGAAGGACCGCACCAAACAGGAGAGAAACCACCACTGGCGAGGCCTGGAAGGGAGGAACGGCTTGAGACTTGAGTCAGAGGGTGGTGTTTCTGAGGAGGGGAGAGCCTGTGGGCTGTGCTGAGGTTTGCTGCTGTCTTCTGGGCACAGTCTGCTGAGCAGCCTGTTCCCAAGTATTTGCAGAGACCCTACAGGCTGAGCTGTACTTGGTGGGGGGTGCAGGATCATATTTGAGCCCTGCCCTTAGGGAATTCTCAAACCACAAACGAAACGCACAGTGGACTTCAAGGGGCTGTGCTGTTTTCAATCTCTGAATTGGGAAGCTGCCCCTGCAGACTGAAAATTCCGCTAGAAGGGCCAACCAGAGTCGGCAGCTGTTCAGCGGCATTGTTTGGGCCCAGGGGTCTAGCCTTGAACATCTCCTCTCTCCCTCCCTTCATTTCCCCTCCCTTCCCCTCTCCCCCTCTCTTCTCTTCAGTTTAAAACAGAGAAGAAACACATACACACACAACACCCTTAAAGACAGTCTTGTTTACTCTCTGAGATTAAAGAGCGTGGACTACCTTGGACAACATAAGCAGATCTTTAAACACACAGTGGACAAAGCCCCTCTAATTGCTAAACTATGAGGTGAGGTTCTGCACAGGCGTGTGCTGCCCGCATTTACATGTTTGTTCTGTGTTAGAGGCCAGGAGCTGAGTCTCGGAGCAGATTTTATTACTGAAGCTATAAATTAAAACCCATTCTCGTGCCATGCATGCCGTGGGCAGTGGTCTTACACCTACTCCCTGGAGCAGGTTAGTCCAGGACCCACCAGCATCTTTGTGTAGCATGCCTCACAGCTGATCTGGTGACTGACAAACTGGCCTTGGGTTACAGGACAAGATTTGGCGTCACTGGAGCGCAAACAGCAGAGGGGCGAGCTGGAGCCATCGGTTCCGCCTTTCTCTTCCTTGCACTGATCTTTTGCATGTGTGCATGTGCACACGGGTATTCGTGTGTATGTGCTCGAGCACGTGTGTGGGTGATGCACATATATGTGCCTGCATGTGCATATGGAAACCAGATGTCAGCAAACCGTGTCATTCTCTTTTGTCCTCTGACTTCTTAGGGGATGAGAGGTGGGCACAATCTCACTCTGTAGATCTGACCGACTTTGAGCCTGACGCAATCCTCCTGCCTCTGCCCCCGCGCTGGGATTATAGACCTAGGCCATCATGCCTGGCTCACCTCTCCTTCCAGGTTTAGGTTTTGAAGTTCATTTCCCACTCTTACATTCCACGGCCATGATTTTCTGCAGCGTGGATCCCGCCACCTGACTGGGAGTTGGGGACAGAGGATGAGAGAAGAGAGGGCCTGAACAACCCCCTAACCTGAAGAGAAGCCAGACTCTGTTGGTAGGACCTAGCACCAGGCATGTTTTCAGGGGTAACTCTCCTGCGCTGCATGTACTAAAAAGACACGCATGCCCAGTGACTAGTTCCCCTGCCCAGCCTCTCCCACTCATCTCCAGAGGATCTGATGCCCTCTCTCCACCTCCACTGGCACCTACACACTCACACACACACACACTCACACACACCACACACATATGCACATATAAGTGCAGTGTTAAAATCTTTTAAAAGGATTTACCATTTGATTGATATTTACAATTCTAGGTAGAATTATAATATTTGAAATAACTACTTTTAATTAATGAATTAACTGTGTTTCTTTGAGACAGGATCTGAAGCTCACTATGTAGCCCAGGTTTGGCTTATACTCATGGAAATCCTCCGGCCTCAGCTTCCCGTGTCCTGGAATTACAGGCATACGACGCCACTCCCAGCTTGAGATAAGCTTAGATTTAACATTATCATAAGTTTAATATTTTAAACAGTGAAAACCATTGGTTCTTAGGAAAGTTTTAACACAGAAAAATGAACATTTAAGTAGAAAACCAAATACATTGAATATCTGCTTACAAATATTTGAGAAAGGCGAATGAATCGAGTTTGTAAATGGAACCAAACATAACATCATGCAGAGACCCCTTCTAAGATGCCCAGCCTTACGAATAGGGTCACAACATTCTAAATCACTAGTTTAAGGGACGAGATGGGGATGCGCACATGCATGAGGGGGCGGGGAGGATCACAGACTGCACAGAAAGGAGAAAGTGAGCTGAGCTCAGCCTTTGCCCCTCTCTGCTTCCTGAGGGCAGAAGCCATGTGACCGCTGCCCGTGCTCCTGCCACCTCCCCCACATGACGGACTGCCCCTGCATACTCTGAGCCAAAACAAACCCTCCCTTCCCTAAGTTGCTTTCGTCGGGTCACAGCTATGAGAGAAGGAACTTGTACCATCAGGCTGCATTATACAAAAAAATAAATAAATAAGCCAGAAACAGTGAGTCTAATAAATAAAAACCAGAAAAGAGAAAGAAAACTGGAAACAGATGTGCCGCTTTTCATAGTTAGCGTGAACTGTCAACTTGACACTGCCTAATCACCTGAAAAAAAGTGTCTGCAGGAGTTTGGACTGTGGACACATCTATAAGGAACTGTCTTGATAGCCATTGGGATGTGGGAGGGGCCCAGCCCACTATGGGTGACACCGTTCCCTGAGCAGGTGGTGCCCGACAGGGTAAGAAACCGCACAGCACACGCGGGCCTGAGCCACCAAGTGAGCAAGGCTCCTTCAGGTCTCTGCTTTAAGCTCCCATCTTAGGCTCCTGCCCTGACACTGTGTGACGAACTGTGACCTGCACGTGAAGGCCAAATCACCCTTTCCCTCCCCTGGTTGC